TACATAGTGTTTTAAAAGTGGTAGCTGTCATTTTAGACAGTGTGGAAATTACGCAATATTGGTGTATTTCAAGAATCTGTTTCTGAAAAATGCATATGCTGGAAGTTTTTCCTAAGCATAAGTAAGGTTCATACTCTGTGTCAACACTGAAATACAGGCAGAGGCCAAAGACTAGCTTTTTGTGCAGGTTTCCTGCACAAACCTCAGGGTTTCCATGAGGTGAGATGTAGAGAAAAATACATAGTTTCTCTACATCATATTCCTTTTTTTTTTGACATTGTACTGAAGCTCTGACCTTGACCAACTATGACCATTGATTAACCCTTCTTACTGTCCTGCCACTAAGGTATGCGGATACCCTTAGTATTTGTCTGTTAAGATTTTGCTTATGTGCTTATTCTGAAATTTTGTTTAGTTTTCTTAAGTCAGATATTTCCAAACATTTTCTGATTCAGATCCAGAGAGATGTTTATTATCAGCCTATTCATTCAATATACATTGCTTTCCTGCAAGGATTTTTGAAACAAGATATCAGCAAATCAGAGAGGAAGTAGGCTATTTTGCATTTCTTTCATCAAATTGCTTGGCATTTCTCATTTCAAGAAAATTGAAACAAATAATTACAAAAAGCAAAAGAAACCTTATTCCATCTTCTGATAATATAATAACTCAAATGTCCTTGAAGAGCACTTTTGGCCAGTTGGCTGTCTCTAGTTTGTTTTCATTTCAGGACGATTTAATTGCAAGATTGTCTGCAAAGGTTTAAAAGCAGTGATTTTTCTATTAAGGAATATAGGAACTGAAAGATACCTAGGATCTCTCTCTTGAAAGTTCTTACTAGCTTGACACAGAAGCTTTTTTAAAATCCACTCCTTTCAAACCTCTTTCTTTCCATTTCTCCCCCATCCTCTTCAACCTAATTTCCACCTTTCTTCCAAACGCCTTTGCTGTCTCTCAGGTCTATCATGCTTTCCCACTTCTCAAAGCACTCCCCCAGTTTCCTAGCTCTCCTCTTCATTCATGTGTCCCCAAACTGCATTTTTTCTCATGCTGCCACTGTTTTCCCTCCCCATTTAGCAACACTTTGTATAATTTATGATGCCAGCTTGCATTCTCATTAGACAGTTCATTAACTCTGTTTTCTAGTGAACTAAACTAAGTTGGGGCAATCAGCACTTCCAGGTCCCTCATTATGTAGTCCTGATACTAGCATGTATATTAATAAGCAATACCAATAAAAAGAAAAACATATGTGCAGGCATAGGATAGAAATAATTGCTAGTTTTAGAAGGAAAGGGTTAAACTAAAAATATAAGGTAGTAAAAATATACTGTATTTGGAGAAGGTTTCATATGCTGTCTCCTATCAGCAAAGTCGGAGTGGAATGGAAGAGACTTCAAGTAAGGAACAGCAGCAGCCAGGATCCAGCCTGGCTCAATCTGTTCTGGCAGGGATTTGAGAGATCTGCTCTGGATAGATCTAACTCCCAGTACAGCTTGTATCAGCTGAGAAGCCATTAAAGTGAATATATAAACTACAGGAAAGTATGATGGTGACATGTTTTGTTTCTAGATTGTTAAACCAGTAATTGTTATTGCAAGTAGCTGTCATTCCCACCAGCATTTGCTTCTTGTTGACAATGAAGAAAACTCATTTGTTTTATAGTGTGAAGCTTAATTTACTTCATGGTTGGTTTCTTTCTTTGCCTGTCAATCCCAGATCTTTGAGAAAGAAATGCAGTCAGTTTTATAGCAAGCAGAATAAACTGTAACTAAACTGCCAGTACAAAAACTATGGCTTCTTACTGATTATGAAAGGATTTTTTAAAAGGCACGTAGGATCAAAAACTCCCTTTTGAATCATTAGCCAAGACTGCCAGTCATTGACTATGCCCAGACTGGCTAGTGATCTGTGGATATTTGCCCTTCAGTTTGTATGGTTTTTAATTAAACTTAACAACTCCAGAAGAAATTACCTCTCTGAAGGTGACTGCCTGCTGGCCTTTAGCCATTTGTGTCTCCACCAGCCAACTGTTCATACACTAGTCGAGGACAGAGCTATAGCTGCGTCAAGAGTGTGGGGAAGAGAGCCCCACTATTAATTCATAGAAATGCAAAGGAAACCATTATAGTATAGATGCAATTTAAGCAGGAAAACAGTTGTGTGGGCATTCAGCTTATTCTATTCAGGAAACATTTTTGATGACGTAAAGAAGGCTTCTGTAAGCTGTGTCATCACTAGGAGGGTTTGGCCATACAACAAACCTTTCCCAGGGTGGTTAATACTTAAAAAGCAGGTTAGCGTAACATATTCAAGCCAAATGTGTCTATATAGAATGATGCCAGAAGTGCAATTTCTGAAAGCCAGGGAAAATACTGGTCTGTTCGCAGCCCTGTTTTGTTTTGGATCAAAGTGCTTTTTCGAGCTCTCCTGTTCTGAAATAACTGTGAAGTGAATTGTATGTAGTGTAGTGCTAACGATAACAAAACCAACCAAACAACAAAACCCCCACAGCATCAGGGTTTTTATCCTGGTTATCAAAGTAAACCAAGTACTAGAGAAATGTTTTCCTGAACACATAGCTGTACAAAAAGAGTTGTACAAAAATCCTTTGAAGGGAACTGTACTATCCTGTGCCAAAGCAAAAAAGTTCCTCCAGTAGCTGTGAGAGGGTACATGGTGCAGCAGGAGGTCATCTTCCAAAAGGGAGCTACAGAAGAAGGCCTTGTAAACTTAAGCCCATGGTTGGGAAGGCATTTTATTAAAGCCTGGTTTAAGATTCAGCTGAAGCACCATGTATTGTGCTGAGTTCTGCAGAGATACATTAAAATGTGGAGTTTTGTTCAGGTGCTCAGTTTGAATAGGCCTTGAACAGACTGGCTTAGCTTTCCCGAACATATTGGCCTATCACTACCAAAGATAAAAATCTTAACTAAAACCAGAGATACACAGGATGTATAGCTACAACTGAAGACTCTAGCCAGTAGGAGCTGCTGCAGAAGCCACTAAGAGACCTGATTCACTGGAAAGAGGAGCTGGACGAAAGCTCCATCACACAGATGATATGGGGCCACAAGAACCGAGTGGTTAGTTCTGCCCTGTCTTCCACATTCCCTGCCGTACGTGGCAAAAGACCCACGAAGGTCTGAGCCAGCGAGAATAGCTGCAGCTATTCTCTGGGGACCTTGAGGCAGTCAGCGGGTTGAAGCTCTGTCTGTCCCACTCTGCCCTTCATTCTTTTCACTTCAGCTTCCTTCTCCTACTTTCCTCTGACCTGCCCTGTCCTCATGACTCCTACTGCCCTTCAAATGCATCTTTCTTTGTGTTATCTTGACACATTCTAAAGGAATGCAATTAGAAGGTGAATGCTGAAATTAATATATCCCCTATTAACACAGTATTGTTTATTCCTTTTGTGGTGTTCCTTGCTTTTACACTTTTTCTGTTGTGTCTGACTATCCAAAGGCATTCTTGCTTACTTGTCTATTTAGACTGACTCTTTATGCCAGGAGTCACCTACTACTTGTGTCTGCGGTGTTCAGCGCGAGGAGATCCCCTTTTTTTCAAAATCTCTAAGTGCACCCATAATAAACATCATTAATAACAAAAGCATGCCACATACATAGTGGGATGTTAGTGTCACCTGTTACATCAGCCCACTGGTACAGACTTTAGTCTCATATCAAAGTTTTGGTCTAATGCCTGGCTGTCCTTTCCTAGCTCTCAGGTACCCGTGCAGTATAGCCACAGTCTGCATCTGCCAGTACCTCTTGAAATTATTGCACTCTACATAACACATATTCTTCCCTCGCCATCATTCAAAGAATATATGACTCCATATAGGTTCTGTTCTGCTCGTTAGTATCACATACATTAAAACTCATCTGCCAAAGACAAGGATAGAACTGACATATTTTGCCTGTTGGCTTTCGTGGCACTGACACTGAAACAGCTCATTGACTACAACTGCGTACTCTCACTTTAACAAATAGTAAATATCACACTGGAAATACACATCCTAGTTTTCACCTTAGGTCTAATAAATCTAAAACTTGCAAAAAATGTGCACAGAAACTATGAGCATTTAAACCTACAGAGTGTGTGTGTGCTGACCTAATGCTAAATGAACAGTGTCTGGATTTGGGCAATTGGCAGCTTGTAAGGGAACAAAAAGCAAGGCACTTGTCATGAATAATCCCATCTTTCTTTTAACTTTCTTGTGCCTCGAACTTTAAGCATCTGATGGAAAGATAATAGCATTTTGAGGTTAACTGCTAGTTTTAAGTGACTAACGTCTTTGTTAGTGGCCATAGCCAGTTGAATTCAGTAAAAATGAATACTGTAAACCCACTTACACGTAGAGTTTCCTCTCTGCCCCGCTGGGACAGAGCGAAGCTTAAATTACTCATATTTGAACCCAAAAGATCCTACAGTGCATTTTAGAAGCCTGCCAAGCCCTGACAGGAGTATCTATTGATATACCAAACAACGGTGGTTGCAAATAGAGCAGCTAAAATTTAAGCATATAGAATGTAGCAATCTTGTCTAAATAAGATAAGAAATAATATAACTTGGACTTTGGCCAGGACACCCCCTTCCTTCCCCCCCATCTCCAAAATCTCCAAAAATAAGAAGCTTTTTAGTGACCACCAGAAATCAAGAACTTTGGTTTTGCATATCCTCCCACCCCCCAGCTACACTTCTTGTTGGTTCTAAGTACAGTTAAGGATTCAAAAGGCAAAGTATGCAGTTTGAGCTTCATTTTAAATTTTTCATACTGCTAACAAGGTTGGGGAATATTGACAAGAGATCTAAGAAAGAGGCAAACTTTACTTTTAAGTTTACTTCTATAAAAAGGCAGTCAAAATTTGGCATTGTGTCTTGAATTATTTGTGCTTTCCAATACCTTGCAGCATTCCTTTACTATTACAAATCTCCATTCTAGGAAGGAAAAATGCACCCTATTAAAGAAATAGTTTCCTAGAAGGTTACAGACTCACCACATCCATGATCTGCATGAGGCTGAGAGTGAAATAGACAGTGAGTGGCTGGGAATCATTTGCAACCGGTCGCTCCAGAGGGTTGTAATTTTTCAACAGCTCCTTGTAAAGCTTCCTTTGGAACTCTCCTTGCAGGGACTCTTCAGGCACAGGAATAAGATAAATAATTAGGATTCTACGTCAGAAAGTAAAGCTAGGACACATGCTCTTTTCCTGCTACCAGATATTAATGTATCTATTACTTTACCTGCTGCATTCCCAGAAAAATGTCACTGTAATTCATATAATTAATTAGCTACTACAACAAAATCTTATCACAAATGTATCACTCTCTCTTTTCATCCCAGCCTGTAAGGGGGATTCCCTCTTTGATCATTTCTTGGCTGGCCAGGAGTGATAAATTCTAAATGCTAATGATGCTTTGTCAATATATGCGCCCTTTGGTCCAGCAGCAAGAAGTGACGAAAAGGAAATGCCTGTATTTTGACACCTGTCCTCGTGTAGCTATAACCAGAAAAGCAGAACACAGATATGGCAGAGGGCATCAGCGAGACAATGGGAGAAAAATGGCCACAGGTTAGACTGAATCCTGCTCTCAGGCTGCTTCAGATTGAGAACTCTTTGGGGCAAGTACTCTCCGCTTTGTTCTCTGTTCATGCAGCTATGAATAAAGTGGGGGTACAGGGTTCCTGGTGGAGATGATAGGCACTACATTAATATACATTATAGTATTCAGGTATTTCTGTCCTTTTTACACCTCAAATCCATGGAGGGTCTTTATTCTGCCGTTTTTCTACAGGGGCAGAGGGAGCAGGTCCGCATGGATGGAGTGGAGTAGACCAGGGAGAGAGGCAGTCTCAGAATGAAAGGAAATCTGGGTCAGGGTAGGAACAGGTCCCCTGGATGCCAGCCCTCCCTGTCCCCACTCCAGACGGACTTTCCTCTTCCCTATTTTCTAGTCCTGACACCGCGCC